TTCTTTTCAAATCTGTGTGGTCACTGTATTGTTTTTGCAGCACTCTTTGCATATATGCATATGTTTAAAAATTAGCTGTTAGGTTTGTGCATTCGTCTGAGCACACGTATGAAATAAAATTTACACGGCCCGCTGGGGATGGACGACACACTTCACCCTCCTGTCTGGCCATGAGAGGACCCCCCCCCAACTGAGTCACGACCTTTGAGCTCTCATCAAAGAGAGGTCAAGAGGTTAAACTCAGCAAACCAGCAGGTCAACAACCTCTTTATCCAGCCTTAACACTCCCATCTCTGCAATTTAGGAATGAAACCAGAAGCCTTTTTCTGAAATTCAACAATTACAAAAACTAATTTCTTTCATTTTTACTTTTGCCAAACTAGTTTTATATATCATGCAGCTGAATGATCTCAAAAGTCTTGAAAACAGCAAACAAGCAAAAGCAATATACTTACTGAAACAGTAAATTTACAGTATTTTTTCTTTCTCTTTTGATCAATGTCTACAGTGTTGGAAAGTACACTTTTTAAGTACATTAACCCAAAATCTTAGGTATGTAGAAACTTAGGTAGAAGTTACTGTATGTACTTTGAGTATTTCCATATTATGTTACTTTATAGATCTACTCCATTACATTTCAGAGGCAAAAGTTGTAATATTTACATCACTACATTTATCTGAAGGTTGTAGTCACATTTCATAATAAAATTTTAAATGGGACAAATTTGACATATCTGGACATTGTTGATCTAAACTTCTCAGATGTTTTCATTTAGACAACTGTTTGACGCTCAGAGGAGTCAAACTATCCAACATTTCACACAAAAAGATTAGAGAAATGTCCAAAAATTGCTACAGGTTTGCATCACATAATAGTTTGGCCCTCATACTCTGTTAATCTCATGACCCCTCAGATTTAACCTGTGACTATTTGGAGGTGGCCAAGCCCATAGGTTGGGAACCACAAGATGACATTATAAAATACCTCAACCAACTACAACAGTAAAATGCTACTTAATGCATTGATGCACCACGATCACCAAACTACTAGTACCAAGTAATCATACATGAATCAAATGTCCCAATTTTCTGCTAAATGAACACTTTAGCTTTTAGCTTGTAATACTTCTGTACAGTACTTTTACTTAAGTATGATTTTGAATGCAGGGGTTTTACTTGTAATAGAGTTTTATAATATTGTTAAATTGGTAGTTTAACTTAAGCAAGGGATCTAATTAGTTCTACCGACTGTCCATTTCAGAAAGAATTAATGGTGTTTCAGTAGGGTGCATCACTATGAAAACAAAACAGCAGGATGTCACAGGTGTCTTGGAGAAATCCCTGAGGCCCGCAAGGACACAGAACAACAATTAAACGGACCAAAGGTCAAACAACTTGTGAATTTAAAAGGCCATCGACAAGGGTCACACAGCGCAACCCCCGCCCTTCACTCTGTCCCATGCCTCACACACAGACACACATTCAGTCAGCTGTGTAGAAGAGACAAATTAGAGAGGAAGTGATCTTTGTCCATCAGGTCTCTTCAAGTCACACTTAATTTCTGACATCAAACAGGCCAAGGACCTTTATTTACTTATTCTGTGTTTTAAGGTGTTTGTTTTTCATAATATGTTACCTGGATATACAATATACACTACATAACATGGACAAATGAGGAGCTGCTGCACAAATACAGTGCATGTTGTCTGCTACAATCTAATTAGTAATATAGTAGGCATTTTTAATACAAAAAGATCCAAAGGTAAAAAGAAATAAAGATTTCTCAGTACTTTTAAAAATTGGAATGAACCTTTATAAATGAATTTGCTACATTAGATTGCTTCACTTAAAATAAGAAAATCAAAATTGACTGGCAGTTCATATACTTAGCGAATTATGCTCGATTGCTAATCAATGCAGCATGCAACACTGTACTCCCACTGGGGCCAGATGTCATTTGGAGTTTTTTCTGGTACCAGTGCCAGTGAGTTTTGTACTAATCCCCATACATTGCTTTTTTCTCATATCTTACTTTAATGACTATTGCATATTTTTCTATGATTTCCTTTTTTCTATTTGAAAACGGCTCCGTTAACATTCAAAACACAATTTAACGCGTATTTTCTGCCATAACTTGGCCTATAATGAAGATAGAATAGTGAAATGTTCATGTAAGATGCACAGTATCACTGCCTATCATATCCTAAACGATGAAGGATTTGATCTGGATCAAGTATTTTAGGAAACATTTTGTGTTGTTCTGGATTTCATTTTTCACAAGGCAGCAGTACATGTGCTCTCTGAGTGTTGGAAATAGTGATTAGTTTCAGAGTTTCTCACTGCGCTGTCCCCTTGTGCTCTAAAACATTTTTAATGTGAGGCAACCACCAATTATCATTATTATTATTATTTTTTCCAGATACTTTGCATGTCAGAAAACCCATCCTCTGAGTTTTACACCAGTAATAGGTAGATTTAGACGAGGCAGGGAGAGTCAGACGAGATTTGTTGGGAAACATTTTGTCTTCATCACCCCGCCACATAGATGAGGATTTGCCATTGAACTTGAACCCAGTTCTCTCACACTGCCTGGTTTCACGATGGCAGCCTCAGCCCATCCTCCCCATCCTCCCCCCTCCCAGCCATCCCCTCAGCACCATGCCTGTCTTTGTGAAACTGTCTTCCTTGACTTTCCACATCCCCCGTCTGGCCCTCGGCGACCTCGCTTCCATCTCGGCCCCCTCCCCTCCTGCGCAGCCATTCTTCACTCCTGAGTTTGGGGGCTCCGGGAGACGGCCTACGGGGACTCGCAATACAGAATGCTAATCAGGCCCTCGGCGGCACTTCCCACGATTTTCCTCCCAGACATGAGCTTTTGTTTTGTTATTGATTCCATTATAATCAGACAGTTCCCGTAACTTTCCTGCTGTCTGGAGGCCATTCTGCAGCACTGACTGCTGCAGAGGGCCTAGCTATCATATGGCCCTTCTCACATTCATTGTCTACATGTTTACAACTTTAATCGTGCTTATGCTTGCAGTAGCGGTGGGACTTTAAACAGAAGTACTAAATTTTGCCTGTGTTTGCTGTAATACACTGGGAATAAAAAGGACTTAGACATCGTAAACGTTACTATTTATATTCAAATCTAGAGAAATATCATTGTAAATTTTTTTAAGTACCCTAAAGTCGAAAAAAGGACAAAATCATACTAGAAAGAGTCCTGATCTTAATTAGTCTTTAATTAGATTCCAGTAGGAGACAGCATTTGTACAGCTGGTACTAGAGCTGTGTTTTTTCACACTAGGAAGTCTGCCAGTCTTTTTACAAATGATGTTTGCTAGTTCATGTCCTTTGATTCAACATGGTTAATATTTATTTTACTGAACCTTTTATTTATACAGGGTACAGCAGTTTGGCTGCTCCTCTATAGAGCAGAACCCCACTAACAGTTCAGCAGACCAAGAGAAACAAAATAGCTTTTAAAAGAGTAATTTAATGAAACAGTGAACTAACAATGAAGATGGTACAAGCTTGGGAACAGTTTTTAAGTTAGTTTTTTCTTTGTAGGATTTTCAAGTGACATTATGGATTACTCCATGAGAACAGCCCATTAAGCAAAGGCAGTCTTACAGTACATACATCTGTTATGTACTCATAGTGTACATTTTCTGGGAGTTTCTCTTTAAGACCATCTTTCAGTCCTAAGAGTAAGAACTGAGCTGACATTTGCCTCTTGCTCAGCGCTGTAGAGCCTTTTAATTTAAAAGTACATATTAACTGTTAAGCTCAAATTCTAATGGACTAAAGGCAGAAATAAGTGAAAGGTCAGCCCATATTTGTTTAAAAATAAGTTGACAGTGATGCCACCACCTGGTGACGTGTTAGAGAGTGTCTCCACTACCAGCATCAGAACTCCAAATGAGGGCATATCTTTTGGTAGAATGGTGTTCATACCTCCAGTAGAGTTCACAGATTTGGACAGTCAATGCCAAGGCGCAATGAAGCTGATCTGGCAGCACATGGTGTCCCAACACCTTACTAAACCACTTTTTGCTGGTTTCTCCTTTAATTTGTCACTTGATTGTAGCTTTCCTTTAAAAAGTTTATTCTGCTTGAACACAAGCTTGTAGTAACCCTGATTTTGAAATTGGCGTGTGTGTGTCATGTGGACAGTTCAGTCATTATAGACTTGACATTGCATCTCTAAAATATCATACTTATGCTTATCTCAGTCACTGTTGTCTTCATCAGTTCTGTCCTACAAAGTGGTTTGAAAGAACCTATATTAGTGTAGACTTGTCAGTTTTTGATGACAACTGACTAATACCATGAATAAGCCATATGTCATATTTCTAACTGAGAGCCCCTTTTTCCTTGATGCAACCTTTAACCCCAGACTTTTTATAAGCTGAGAAGCTTGTCCTTCCGAATGTTTTCAGATGCCACTTGTAGCACAGCAACAGCTGGATTCACTGGCCTGTACCTTAAGTGTAGGTGTGCCACACTGTCCCAGACACACCACATCATCTAGATGTGACACAAATTTTCCTCCACAAGTGTACAGCACATGTAAACACTGATCAGTCACTGTGTTTAGTATGTACTGCTGATATGACCATGTTGTTTTGTGTTTACTGTGGGAATGTTTCAACCTCCAGATGTTTTCTGTGAGTTTTTTTTGTAGTACATCACTCAGATACATGTGATTATATTAGTTTAAATATGGTACTATAGAATCCTGAATTTATTCACAAACAGTAAAACTGAAAAAATTCAGCTATCACTACAACTTGAATAACAATTTAATTTAATATATTTGGATCCACTTCACCTGAACGTTTTCCTAAAATCTTTATACTTTTACATTATCATATATAGAAATACACAGACATTCTCTCAAAGTTAGTGTGTTATTTTATTAAATATATCAAGTTGATGTAATCTAAGCCTCATCCTTCTGTAATGTGAAGAGGAGTCAAATTCAGCAGCATAGCAGTATCACAAAATCAAAAAATGCATTTATTTCCAACAAGATTGACTGTTCATTCATCTGTTTTTATTAAGCTACTAGCTACATTTAGTACATATTGTTTCAAAACTTTCAAACAGATCTCCAAATAAATCAGCTGAATAAGCTAATTGTTTTGTATAACCAATTATCAAATATTAATATCCAACACATTTTGTATCAAAAACACAAACAGCATCAGTCATCACATCAGATTGTCAAGCTCACATGCACTTCTTTTCACATATCAAAACCTTATTTTATAGATTGCATGTACAGTAGAAAGTTGGTTATTGTAAAAACAGTGGATGCAATTATGATAGGCTACTTAAAACCCCTTGGAGCTACAATTTGATTTAAAAAGATGTTAAGCATTTTGTGTTACTTGTGCATTCCGAGGATATCGTAATCTCAGATGTCCACTGCAAATAAATGTCCACAACCCATCTTAGAAATAGTAGAAAAGGACACTCCTTATAATGCCAGTATTTAGGGCCTAAACACACAGAGGAAGGATGTATAGCAAATAATAATGATTGACATGATAAATCCACATTTACACAGTTATTGTCTCATTGCAAACAACATTTTTATTGATTATGGTAACTACAAAAGTAACATTTGCATAGTAGGGACACAGAAGCTCAAGTGCAATTTAAGACTGCTAAAGCAGTAGTTCATAGTACATAATAATGCTGTCAGGTTATTCCCTCTAAATAGTATTATCTGCAAAAAAAAAACATATATTCACAAATTCTCCACATTAGTTCTTGTGCATCCAAGAACACCAATGTATCACATTGTCAGAGGAGCTGATCTGACACATGAAATGTGGAATACATCCTATGTTTAATCTCTGACTGGCACTGCAATTGTTGATTAAATCAACGCAGACTACATTTCTACTAGCAAGGACTGCATTCACTGTTTCTACTCAAACCAACTAAAACACACACTTCTTCAACATCACTGCACATATTGCACCTGTGCTCATAGAGTGCACATTAGGAGCACAACATACCTTACACACAAACCGAACCCATGACATTTAGCTGCTAATGTGCAAACCTAGCAATAGTTCTTGTGTACAAACACTAAGAGTGCAAGTTTAAGACATCCTACTACACTAATTATCTGGTGCATAGATAACAAGGTATGCATTAAACATTATATAATTTTGATTGGACAAACGATCTCCTGCAGTGATAGTTGCTCTCTTGATTAAAAGTGAAATCGTGCTTCAGTGTCAAGGTACATGAAGTGATAAAATATGACATAGCTAAACACAAAGACTGCATAAGAACCATATTTACCACCAGTGCATTCAGTCCAAATCACTTAGCATATTAGAAAACATTTTGAGGAACAATTATACTGTCATTGAACAGAATAATACATTCACATGATGACATTTAAAGATGTACCATAAACAGTCCAATCTTCAGAAGAATTAACTTAAAGTTGATTTTGATATCACCAAATCTGTAAAACATTTTTGACATTGCACCAGGAAAATCATTTGATATGTTTCAAGTAATTCACACAGATTGTCATCAACTAGATTGACACAGCCAAAATTTACAAGACAAATTTAATTACTAGCTAAAAAATTGAAACAAATAAGATTCCAAAGTTATGAGAAGAATTGACAAATATGCAAAATGTAAATGTAAAACATTTTCTACTCTAGCATTAATTCTCACCTAAATGTAACATGTTGAACTAATGAATTCAAAGAATCAAAGCTACTATTTGTCATCTTCTAACCTTGTGTGTGTGAGCGAGAAATTTAAAAAGATTTAAGCTCTACATGAAAATCTAGCGCAGATGTTTCCAGAACAGCTGTGCAGAGCAGTTCCCATGTACAATACACACAGTCCAACTTGCTGTCACTCACTTTTACACTTTCAACATCACAATGGCCGGATGCCCACTTGATTCAGAGTCCCCTGTTGTGTTTCTGTTGCCATCCGGATAAAGATGTTGTGTTGCAGCAGCCAGCGTTGGCGACTCTTGTATCAGCCTCCAGTGACAGCTGCTTGAGCTGAATCCATGTATTTAAGCAATGTTGTCCAGTATTAAAACAGTGGTTATTGTAGTCCTGTGGGAAATGGACTTCACTGGACTCGTAGTCCAAAGGTGACGTGGTTCTCAACTCCAGACTGATAAGAAACCTTAAAAGAAGACACAGAGGAGGTGTTCAAGAGTCAGTTTCTTAGTTGCAAGATAACACACCACCACATTTACCTGTAGCCTTCCAAACTTTGTATTTAAAAGACCAAAGCATGCGGTGATGCCAAACATTTAGCCATTACAGGCTTATTATTAACATCCCAGATTCTGTCCTTACTAATAACACATGTACAAATAGAGTATGTGAAGCAACACAACATAGAGATTTGCATATTTTATACCATATTTTATTCAAAGTATGGAGACAAACCATTAATTTAGGGCTTAAAGTATATTCATACAATTCCCCAGTGGCTCTGATTCTACTGTGTTCTACTTTACAGCATTTACAGTTTTGGACTGCAGACAACTGAAAGATACTGTAGATCCCAAGGGCCCATACACATGCAATTAATAACACATGTATCCTGTATGGCACTCATATCCCATATTGCTTGGGAACACTGAGACTATTTGGTCAACCTATCCACTTAGAAGCTCCTAAAGATGTTGAATATGTGGAAGGATCACTGGCACATTCTGAGCACTGGATCGTGCACAGATTCAAACATTTGTGGGAGAAGCCCAGCATAATTCATTATAAAGCTCAATGTTAGTGTTTACTGTATCGCCCTCTAATGATCTACTGTAAGCTCCTATTCACAGCCTGTAGATGGCACACTGATAACAGTTGGAACAAACCCACACAATTAACCCAGACAGACTTAGTAAAATATGGCCCCCAACCCTTAAAAAAAATTCAAAACAACCAGACACAAGCTGCTCTACCAATCACAAGCATCACACCTCCTCTTCTCTATCCCCTCCCCCACTATCATTGTGATTGAGCCAGCAAAGTGTTTTTCCCACCCTTGATTTTTCTCTCCGTCCTGTTTTCAGCCAGGCAGGAGAAGTAGGAGGAGAAGATTGGGGGGGTTGAAAGGGGCAAGGGAGGAGGAGGAGAGGGGTAAGAACTGATGGGGTCGCCATGGCAACCCCACATTGGCATGCCCCTGATTGGAGTATGTGGTGGCTAATTATTCAGCGCATATGCTTAAAAAAAACAATAAAGTAGGACGTATTGAAATGCAGAGCCAAGCATCGCATAGTGTGTGATTAACATACGAGTTCAGCACTGCTTTGAAGACAGATGCCTTACTTACTCCTATGATAGCCAACATAAAGTTTTAGTAACTTGAATATTAGCCTTTATTTTTAATCAAATTTTCTGTGCATGTTAAATAAATGGAATAAGAACTGTAATCATGAAAACTACATTGTGAACTTTCTTCTCTCAAATTCTACATTTTAATACATTTTGTTATTACTAAACTGCTGAAACTAATTAATTATGTCAGTATGCATGTGAGGATCACCCCAAACTTTACATTAAGAATGTAAAAAGTAAAACAAACAAACTAGAGCAGCATGGTAATGGCAGGCCTGTGAGCGCTGGCATGATAGATAAATTGTGTGTGTGTTTGCATGTGTGTGTGTCTGAGGCAGTAGGAATGGGGGGTCTGCTGTGTGAAAGAAACCAGTGGGGTAGCAGTTTGTATATATGTGTGTGAGGAAGGGGGGATACGCTCACAATGGCCATCATTGTTTACCAATCTCCTTCGTCCATTAATCAGGACGATCCGGCTCTAATTGGCGTTTTGGTTAAGCTGGTCTCCAGACCCCGTTCCCTCCACTGGCCTAAATAATGGCGTTATGCCACAAGTGCCGCCACACATTGGGGAGGACAATGTGCCGCTTGTCTGAGGGCCCAGGATAGGATCCCTACCCTCTCCTCTTCCCCTCCTTTCTTAGCACCCCCTGCGCCCCCCAAAATAAACCTCACACAGAAACACAAAGAAGGCCTCTCACTATTGAGATCTCACTGTTGCAGGCTCCCTCTCCTTGTCTGTCTGCCCCCCTCATCTTCCCACCGTCCTTCCTCCTCAGATTTTTTTTCTTACTCATTCACTTAGTTTTTCTTCCTTGCACTTATAGGTGGCTCCCTCGCTTTCTGGCAGTCATGGTGAGAGTGGTCAGGTCAGAAAACCACATTGATCCTAACCTATATATTTCCTTCACCTGGTGTGGAAGGTTTTAATAAAATAGTGGCAGCATTGTGAACATTTAAGCAAGGATAATGAATTGAGTAAGATGTATTTGGTTTGTAAAACCCTTTAAAAAAACAAATGTGTGATGTCAAAAAAAAAACAACTAAAGAATTAGATCAGAAAAGTTGCACGATGGTTTTCATCAACATACAGATTTAAAAGTGACTATAAGGTTGCAAAGTTTATACCTTATACCTTTTCATAAATCAGCAAAGTTAATGATACTCTGTTGAATAAATCATATAAATGAACACATGTTAGATCTTTATGTTTTCACAGCAGCTAAAGGTCTGCATGCTTCTGTAAAGGTTAAGAGAGCTCTTGGGTGTGTAAAACCCTTTCAAAACCAAATGTTTGATGTCAAAAACACATACAGTTAAAATGCAGCTGGAAAAACTGACCTGTAGCAGATAAATGATTTTCATGGAATGGCTAGAAATAAGGGGATGTGACAATATATTATTTTAGATTATTTAAATTTCTGATTCTGAATTAGTGAATATCAATGACACTGTCAAATTCTCCATTTAGCAGTATATTTTCTTCTAAAATCAAAATCATAAATGCACTGAGCAAGTGAGAAACCAAAGTAAGATAATGTGGAGATTTATGAAGGCCACTGTGTTGCTAATTATGGCTTTTTGGGGTTTTTTTCCCCCACATCATCAAAGAAAGCTGTTTGCACATCTAGGCTGCATAAAAACCGCATGGATGCTCCACATGCAGAAATATTGCCAGTAGTGCAAATTGTAGCTCTTGTAATTAAAACCGTGGAACAATCTAATGTTGCAGAAATAAGGAGGTCGAAAGAGTTTTCTGAGCATATCGGAAATCTACAAAATGGACGATTGTCAGTGTCTGCAGCGTGACAACGGGCACGTTGAAAGCAGCGCAGGAACCACAGCTGCCCTTAAAAATGCCAGCTTGTCGATGCTCAAAAGCCACTGACTCCACGGTTTCCTCCTATCTCATCCTTTCCCGCTTGTCTCTTGGGGCGATCTCTACAATTAACACACTGGTGGTAATTAACACTGTCTTGAGGCAACCAATGGCGCGGAAAGGATGGGGGCCAATGAAGTGGGGGAAGGTGCAGCGCTAGCTATCCACATTCCCCCTTTTTCAGCTGCCATTTTGTCTTAACACCTAAGATGGTGGCAGGACTGTGACTTGCCATGTGGAAGAGGAGGACAAACTGGCAAGGGAGGGGTCGGAGATGTGGAGGATCATGGGATTGAGGAGGGAGTCTGTTATTTTCCTTCTTGTATTCTGTGCATTGCTGAATGGTTACCAAGACAAGGGCAAGAGAGGCGGAGCGACAGAAATA